TCATGTGATGGTTTTATTTATCTATTTATTTATTTCAGTTTGTCATGTCTTGCAGTTATGACTCATTTCATTAAACAAACAGACCAGTTATCACATTGTGTGTTTTGGCAGTCGGTTATATTTGCTATGTCTGTCAAATTTCCCATTGTAGTGCAACCCATATGCAGTTTTCAGTGATAACAATGGGAGATATACAGCTTGAGTTTTGCAATTTGTGTGAATCAGCCCCTCATGTCAAAGTTAAATAAAGGTTAACAAAAAAAAAAAAAAGCTCATCTCCAGCTGAGTTTTTAATGTTTGTAGCTGAGTAGTTACCAGCGCATGATACATGTCAGTTCATATAGAAGACATGGAAAACAGTATTCTGGTATAGCGTACACATAGTCCTAGTATTTTTTAGTATGATAAGTAAAATGGTAAGATCAGAGTCTTATTTCCTAAAAGAATAACCCTGTTTGGCAGCCGGGCCGACATGGACATGCATGACGGAGATTGTTCCTGTTTTGACATAGCATGTTGTACTTTTAATGTTTAAAAAGAAAAGGCTTTCAGGATGAGGGTGAACCGATAACACTGCGCTCTCTCAGACGACTCTGACGTTGTTCCAGTGTTAGCTGGAGATGCTAATGTTGCATGGATTATTGTGCTGTTTATACCAATCAAAATCTTTCTCCTGGTATAATACCTGTCCCAAAATAGGATACATGTCTGATGAGCTTTAAATGCTGAAACTACATCTTCTTGAACTTGCTGCTGTATTTGTATACTAACAGATCTCTGCTGAAGAACTCTCAGAACCAGAGCCTAGCTGGGTCAACTCCTCAGGTAAGACATGTTTGATGTTTCAAGATCTCTAGCTGCTAGTATTATAAATTGATAAACTGTGTGTATTGTGAGGCTGCTGCAGTAGGCAGACAAAGGTCAGCGTGGTAGTGATATGTTGGATAAGCCTAGTCAGAAAATTGTTGCAGCTACATCTGTTTTATGTTGATGTTGAATTATAAATGTAAAACCTTTTTCAGCGTGGCTGTTTGGACGGCACCAACTCTTTCTACAACCCAGCCTCAATGGGCAGCATCCCACTGCACTCCCTGCCCCATGTTCTCCAAGAGCAGATGAATGGAGCTCTTGCTAATGGATACCAAAGTGACAGCAGTGCAACACAGTCCCCTCCACAGGCCTAGTAAGCATCAGCTCCAGAGCTCTGTTCCTGACCTCAGCTGTGGTTTAATGGATGTGATCACAAATACTGACGACATGTTGTATTTTTTCCTGAATCTTTATCGAACCAGCATTAAAGAGGAGCAGGAGGATGAGGAGATAAGTGAAAATTATCCCTGTGAATCTCCAGAGAGCACAGACGAGCACAGCCACAGCCCAGAGATGAACCCAGATGAAGACACTGGCAGCCCAGAGAAGCCCAACCTTCATCTCGATCGTGTGCCTTCTCTCTGACTGTGAGGTCCACCAGTGCAAGACTGCCTCACTCACAGCCTGTGTGACTTTGTATTACAAAAACAACAGCTTCATCTACATAACCAAACACTCTGTCCTTGGAGATTTTGTTTGTGGTAACACTTTTAAAAATCATATACCTAAGCACTATTTAACTGCAGCATGACTCATGATGATTTGACGCATGAGTTATTGCAGGATGTATCCTGGATTCCTGTTGCTCGCCATTAACAAATGGCCAGGTCACTATATCCCCTTTCAGACATGATACCTTGGCATTTGCGGGCTACATGTAGCCTTTTAACAGTTACGTTTTCAGACGAAATTCCTGGCAAGGCTTTGTTCGCACAGAGCAGGACCTAACTGGGTACAACCCCAACATTCACATGATACCCAACATCATGCGAGGCCGACACAGGTAAAAGTGCCGGTAACACTTTATTGTCTTCGCAACTTAGGGCTTTGTTCAGACTTGAAATAGAATAGAAGGCAAATTCCTGGCTAGGGGTGCCTGTCTGAAAGGGGCGGATGGCTTTTTGTGATTAATTCATACTTAGATTGAGCTCAGATGCAAACATTTACTTATTGCTGCATGACCCAAATGCATTTCGCCACATGAATGTATTATTATTGCATGTTTTATTGAGAAAAGAGATATGTAATATGGTAGCAAATACTGCACTAAAACCAAAATCATTTAGTGGGCACGGTTTGACAGATTAGAAAAGCAGGTGTGCTGCTGGCCTTCTAGTGCTTTCTTTGTAGTTGTTTTTTCTAGCTCGTAAGTGTGGAATAAATACAGCCGGGTCATGTAGTAACAAGCAAAAAAAAAAAAACATTTACATAAGATTGTGCTTAGAGAGAGTCTGGTAAAGTGTATGGGTGTGAAAGGAACGCTTGTGTGACTGGAATACAGCTACTCTGGGGACATATGAAGATGTGTGATGTAAATGTGAATTAACCTTCCTTAACTGATGATCTAGGAAGTATGAACTAATTACATCCAGCCTAGGTAGTTCATAATTAGTTCATGCTGACTAAAAATAATGTTATCTTACAATAATTCATGCATTATCATGAGCCATACTTTAGTAAAATATTACTTAAATATATGAGTTGTACTCTATTATAAAGTGTTACTGATTTTTAAAAAAAATATTTCAGGCTTTTATTTTATTGTTTTGTTCTAAATCTAGCTCTTATTTCTTCCTGTACAGTAGAGTGAGATCACAAAACACATTTGTGAAACTGTCTGTTCATGATCTTTGTTTTTATATATGTGTACACAGGAGGACCATGATAAGCAGAGAAGCCAAAGGAAAGGGAGCATTAATACTTAGCACTTCACAACGTTTCTCTCCTCTGTAGCTACCTGATGCTACTTTGGGGCCACACTACCTGATTGTATTTTAGTAGTCATATAAAAATTTGTAGAAGAAGTAAAGAAAAATGTTGCTTTAAAAATGAAAATGTTCACTGCCAATATGATCTGATATATTTGTATTTAGAATCAGTTGATCAACAGAATACATATCTTTACACCTTTTTCACCTGTTTCATGAACATTGTTGAAATTTTCTCTGAGCTTGCAAGAGTAGCTACTATAGATTTATGCATCTCTATGAATAATAAATTCCTCATGATAAATGTGAGTATTCTAAATGTAGTTGATCTCCCATTACGATTGCCTTGGTGGTGAGTATTTTTCATTGTTTCCCATGATACCATGACGAGGAGCAGTTGTTGACCTGCTAACATCACCACCTTTCTCGGTCAACCGTAATGACTCCTTAATAGAAGCTAATCGGAGTAAAGCAAATGGTCTGGGTCGCTAACTTTCCACTGTAGTATTGAGGTATGTCCGTTGTAAAATCTTATAAATTCAACCTGTGTGCTGTCAGCAGATGTGGTTTGCAAAACCACGAGATAATAAATAGTGAGATTGTTTAATGCATGTCCTGTCTATCATTACTTGTCAGATCAGGTGTTTGGTAAGCGGCTTCGGTTGACTTTCTATTAACATAATGTCATAATTGAATGAATCATCTGTTCATTATAGTTGTGAGCATGCTGTTCTTAATCAAGCATTGCTTTGCAGGTGTGTCTCGCTGCCTTTCTGTTCTCTCTGCACTATATGACCACACCTTCTAAGCTTCCTGTCAGTCAACAGGATTTTAAAGTCAGTGTGGGTGCTGAACCCACACTGACTTTTTATATCATCAGTAATGTTTGTGCCTCCAAATTCATTCCTGTATTACTTGTTTTATTCTGTCGAAAGGATCCATGTCCTTAAGCCAGTAAGAGCCGGTCCATCTAGAAAGATGATGGGCAAGTTGGTCATCTCAGAGTAAGAACTGGACAAACTGGACACCGATCCCTGTTCCCGTGATCCCTTGCGTAGCAGTGAATGGGAAGTATCCAGCTTCTTCATGTGTTCTAACAAGCTTAAGAACAGTATGATTCACACCAGCCTGGCACCGGAGGTATTGTGTAACTCCTCTAAGGTGGAACTGTTGATACAAGTAAATAGAAAAACCTGAAACTCTAATCATTAACGTCATTATAGTTCTGATGTTTATTTGTGGTTAGAGGTGCATGTTCAAAGGGTATATTTTCAGACGAAGTTATTGAAACTTCTTTGGATCTATTTTTTTTTTGTCAACATTGTTGTTTCCATGAGCTAATGGTGCTTTTAATAGATACATGAGAGAGTGAGCCATTGTTTTCTCACATACAAATACATCACAGTGTCCACTGAGGATGACTGGCAGGGAAAGGACTGCTGGAATTACACGCTAGTACTGGACTGTAACTTGTGCAGCTGTTGTCAGGATGCAGGAGAACACCAACATTATTCAAGCAGGTGACTGCTGCCACCTTTTGAAACAGAGTTGGTTGTTATAAGAAAAGCCTGAGTATGTGTGTCAGCTGCTTCATTTGTTGATGCAGCCACACTGCAACCAAAATACAGTCCTGTCAGGTTTGAAGGCAGGACAGGATTGCAGCGTGGGCATGGTTATGTATGTTGAGCTATGTGCTGATGTACTTTATGTTTCTGATATCTCACTGGAACGTGTGGCAGAGTAGGCCAAATGCCATGAACATGCCAAGTAGCGACCACTGGAAACAGCATGTCATGACAAAAAGGTCAACCGAGCTGACTGTTCTCAAGCTACAACTTTCCAAAGATAAAATTTTACTGTCTCACACAAAACTTAGATGTACCTTTCAAAAATGACCAGGGTTATTATAAGTGAAATAAAAAGAGCTGAAGCATGGTAACATTGTTTTTAAATTTTGGGTACATAATTTTTTAGCTTTTCTAGCAATTTAGCATTTATAGGCGGTATATAAACATTTAATGAACTTAGAAATGTCCTTGCTTATAGCAACATTACAGTGTGTAATAATCCATTCATCAAATGTTTTTATACTGCTTACAAATTCTAAATTGTAGGATTTAAATGTGTTGATGTTGTGGGGAAAAAAACACAACCAATATTCAAATAAAACTTTTAATATTTTTTTCTACATCGTTTCCACATTGAGTGCCAGTTAGTTTATTTATACTCACTACTCTGAAACCAGTGCGTACAGTAACTATTGCTACATTCATCTCATCTATCAAACTGTAACAATAAGAACAGTAGTAACATCAGCAGAGAACAATGTCTGAATGGCCCACAGGAATGCGAATGAGCATAAAAGTCTAAACTGAGTTAACCTGTTTTTTAATTAGTGGTTTTCCCATAATACTTAAACAGCTGGAGGATTCAAAATGAGAACTCAGTCATAACGCTGGCTTCGAACACCAACTTGTGTAATGCTGCTGTAATTTGAACCAGTTGCATTTCAGTGTTTAGATGATTTATCTGTTCCATTAAAACAGCTGATCTGGGTTCAGCCAAACATCTGAGCAAACTCCACCTGCTGATGAAGACCGCGAGATGCCGTTGAAAGCTCTGCAACAAGCTACTACATGGCTCTTAGGTGAAAATGTTTGTGTTCAAAAGTGAACTTGCACAATGTACTTCACTCGTTGGTGCTTTATTTCTGGCTTGATTACCATCATGCTCTAGGTATTGCTTGTTACTATGAAACAAACAAAAAGTGCAGAAGCTACGTTGTTTCTAGTTAATATCTTTATATAAACATCATTTATATATTTGATTTTGGCAACACCTTTTGGCAGTTGTTGCTGTGAACTACATTCATACTAGTCTTAAAAAGATGCTTCATATTCACAACTTGAAGCCCCAAAGTGTTCAATTAAAAATAAAGAAGAACATCATGAAATAAATAATGATTAGAATAAGTAAGTCAAATATAATATTGAAACTAAGAAAGGTCTATACTAGTGGTTCTGTGAGGCTGTACTTGCACGGTCACTGACAATTCATCCTGAACCAAATGTCATAGCAATTCTAACAGCTGCCAAGCCAATGCATTTCTGAAAAAGCCAGAAATGTCACCCTGCTGGTGGCACGAAGAGAAAAGTCAGAGGATGGCTTTGGGATTCAACCTCTGTGCATCATCCCTCTGTACAGAATTTCACAGTAATCCATCCAATAGTTGATCATATATAGTCTGGGCTGACTGACCAGCCAGACATGCCTCTGTGAGGCAATAAAATTGTAAAATAATTTGATAAATTATTACAAATAAAATCTTTTATTTTCTTGTACTGTATTTTAATGGCACTATATTTTAACACATGGAGTTTCAGCTTGTCTCAGCCGACTCAACAACTACTAGGCAACTACTAGCTAGTGGTTGAGGAATCTCTGAGCAATATCTTAAGAAACACAACACCAAAGAAACTGAATTAACAGGTTAGCTGCTACTCTTAACACTGACTTTTCACTTGATGCTGACAGGCAAATTAAGCTACAGTAGGTACCATTTGTAGCCTCGCTGAGCTAAATATAAGGAGGTTAGTTTCTGTGCTTCTTTACAGCAGCTGTTAGTCGTTTCAGAATGACTTTGTCACTGCTGTAGCTGCAGCTGTTGCAGGAGGAATGACCGGAGGGCTGAGGAGGTGGTGTCACTGGGAGAAATGCTGTTATGGAATAAAAAGACTTTTTGAAATAAAACCAATTCTCCAAAGTAAAAGAAATAAAACACAGCTGTGAAAATAATAGAGATGAAAAAGCTTTTAATAATGATGGCGTTTAATAATTTGTCAAATTATTTCAGAATATATTGGTTTATCTTGGTGAGCTTTATGATTACTTAGCTACTTCATAAAGCCTTTGTATTCATTTAATACTGAGCACTTTGGGGTTCCATAACAACAAACCCTTTCTTGCAGTTCTTGGGTCTGAGAAGCTTATGGTGCTATCTTTTACTGACAAAAGGCGCCTTCCTGCTGCTCTCTGAGGTAAACCTTGCACTTTTCAGACTAATTCATGAAGCACCAAACACCAGTATAAACATTAGCAAAATTCTGCGTCACTCCTCTCACATCGCCAGGGTAACAGAAATGACTGTAAGGCACTTAAATCAATGAAAAAGATAGTCACCATGATACTGGTTTAGATGAATTCATAAGGTGATCACTTTGCCGAGACCTGACGCTGCTCTACACAGGCACAGCTTCAACCATTGCATAGTTTAACAAAATGGGGGCTGTGCTGTAGCAGGGCTGTCGACGTATGGCAGGTAGTCATTAACAAAGGCCTGTTTATGAAATGTGCTACAATATACAACAACCATACACCGGAAGGAATCTACAGTCTCATACAATATTCTGTATACATTTGAAAAGCCAAGAACAATAGTTAGTTTATGCTTAGTAAAAAAAAAAGAAGAAAAAAAGGCGAACAAACCACGTTTCAGTGTTTCAACAACTTCATGCATTTCATACAAAATCCCAATGCAATTTCCTTATACTCCTTGGTATTATAAATGTTCACATGATGAAGAAAAAAAACATCCTGAATGTGAAATATTACCACAGTGAAAAAAACAAAATAACAATAATTTAGAAAATGGGCTGACAATTATAAAAACTTGCATCGACATGTCTGAAGTATTACAATGTTCTGAGTGTGCAGCTTTACCAGTTGTTAGTCTGATCACTACAGAGAAAAATACAATACAAACTAAAGTGATTCATCTTTTGTACATCAATCACATATTAAAGATCTGTAGAATGTAACAATGTTCAGATTTATCCAGTGAAATCAGCTACTTGTGCGCATGTCAGAGCCACCACAGCTTTATTGACCTGCACTCAGATTCTACTGGCTTTGGACTTTGCATTAAAAAAGTCTTTGATATTTGTTGATAATTTTTGTTGTTGTTTTGTTTAAGTATTGTAGTGGTCTTGGCAATGAGGAATGTATTATTCATATTTCTGCTGGATCAATCAGCACTAGGTGGTTATAGGATGCATGCATGGCTAAACCTGACCTTTCTGTCTTGTTACTGAATTGTTGTGCTGCCTATTATGGCAGTGAATACAAGACCGAGATGAGCCATTATCAGTGTTGATTTCATTATAATATGCTTAGTATCTCAGGCTCTTGCTATAAATGAACTTTTAGGGGAATGTGTACATAAAGTCCTGTGTACATAGATACATAAATAAGATCAGATCTACAAATGATCAGTATTTCAAGGAAGAAATTTCAACTGGAAGACCGACAAATACTCAGCTATAACAGCCAAAACATGTGCATAGCAATACAACATTGATGTATAGACATCTTAATAAGGCATTGGCACATTCAAGTTTATTCTAAGACACAAGGAGTGTAAAGCACTACAGTAATAAATAGATTTTTTTTCTTCTATTATTGCTAGTGATTCAAAAAGAAGTGTTCATCGCACCACAGAATATCTACACATCTGACCATGATTTATAACTTCCCTAGATTCTTTGGAATTAATAGAAATAAACATAATCTAATCTCCATCCAAAGATAAATGCATATTTATTTAAATATAAAAACTTCTATTTGTGTAACTCATTGTCATCATAGTACTGATTAAAGCAAACACACTGTAAAATCAGTCCTTGAAATCAAAGCTGAGGGCATGAAAGGACAAAGGTATCGCAAAAAGAGCTAACATAAATATGAATGGAGACTTCTACACATGTAAACACAGGTGGGGGAGGAAAAAAACCACAAGAAACAAATGACGGGAAGTGGAGAAAGCCTGTCCAGCAGCTGAGAGTGAGTTAGCTGCTGACAGGAACGCTTGCAGCTGAGTGGAGGGGTTGGAGATGAGGGTGAGGCGACTTCCAGCAGAGGGTGCTAACAGTCCTGCTCATTCTCATCCATGCTTACACTGCTCTTTCGGCTGCTTTCCTTTGAGGTGTCTGGGGAGACAGAGGAGAGCAAAGGGTCCCCCCCTCTCACTGGTGATAAGGTGTCTTCCATGAGGATGTCGTTGAGTTTGGAGCCCGGTTTGCTATGAATGCCGTAGTGGCCCTCTGGGTAGTTGGAGTGGCCTTCGTTTAGCTCCAGGCTGCCGGGCGGTTCAGGAGTGCAGGCGGGGTTGTGTTGGTGAAGGGGGTGAAGTGCGTAGAGGTCCCGGTGACAGTCCTCCAGAGCAGGTTCCTGCTTGATGTTCCGGGTCCCAAGTTCAACAGAGCAGAGAGCTGAGGATGCGATGGCCAGGCCGTGAGCCTGGGCCTGCATTTCTAACTCCTGCAAACCACAGAGAGAGACATTCAGTTAGTGTCTGGCATAATGTCTATACTAATCGCAATCCACATATTTTTTGTCAGGATGAATTGAGTTTCAGATAACTGTGCTGTTTCACTTGCTCAACGAATGGTCAACATGTTAAACCAGGGGCGTCTTCAGTAAAATGGCTAGTGGAAATGGCAAGTGATGTTTTTATGACTGTGTGCTGGTGATCGCCGTGGTCGGAGGGATTGTGTTGTTGGGTTGTCTGTCCATCTGTTCATACTATTCTTGTGAACGTAATGTCTCAGGTACAACTTAAGGGAATTTCTTCAAATTTGGCACATGTCCACTTGAACCTAAAAATGAGCTAATTAGATCTCGGTGGTCAAAGATCAAGGTCACCGACCTCATTTCTGTGCTCTACCCATGAATTTGGTGGAGGCATACAACTGCGAAGAGGTCATTCTGTTTTCTTTAATTATAAAAAAGCCACCCGACTCTGACTGACTGAGCCTTTTGCGCAACATTTCCCACTTGTAAAAACTCAGGTTTACTGTTTCCACTGATACTGAAATGTGCTGCTCTAATGAATTACTACAAAAGTGATCAATCAATTGATGTCTGCTCAGCTGAACCACACAGATGCCGATGTCTCATCTTGTGGTCAGTCTGTTACAGGATGAAGCCGGCTTCCTCCTAAAAACACGGCCTTTGCTGATTGAATTTGTGCCTCTGCCCATTTTCCATTAAGCTTGATATGTATATTTAATAAAATTTGAATCATTTCTACTGAGGCAGGGTTCAAAATCCTCCAACCCTCCACTGACAATCTATGGTAAAACAGTAACCATGCATATGGTGTGGTTATGATGCAACTCTCGGAGCCTGTGGTACAACTTCCAATCACTAGGCTTTATGAAAATGTGTTTACCTGTATCCTCAACATCAGATGTCGGTTGGCGTGCTCAAGCTTCTTCTGACGATTCTCCAGCTCCTTGGCCCTGTGCTGCTCCCGCTGTAGCTTCCTGATGTAGTCCACTGATGCCTTCAGGATGGTGCCTTTGTTCCAGCGCATGTCTCTGAAAATCATAAAGGAGTAATTATTCTCACATCCTACAGTTTTGATGTCAGACCTTCAGCAAGCAGCGATGTCATCAGAAAAATCTGATTACAGAATCTCATCAGACTTGGGCTGTTACAATAGACCAGTCACCGTCATTTAAAACTGTTTAGTTTTTTGCAGTGGTGCTGCATCAGGAATATCCTCTATTTCTGTATGTAATTGTGAAAGACTGGATGTGTGTATGTAGATGAGAGTGTGGGTGAAGCACCCAGCTGGGGTCTAGCAAAACAACCATTAACATTCTGAGTGAGCTGAAACATTTCTTTACATGCCATCTAAATGTAAGAGCTGGGGGACAAAACCCACATAAATCAAGCAGCTAAGGTCATATGTTAAAGCCTTTTTCATACAAAATCCACTGCTCAGTGTTTCCTCGATTGGTTCCTGTAGATGGACAGGAACAAAAAAAAAAGACAGTGACTTGATCGGGCTCACTCTTCACTACCTCATAGCAGCTGCAGCTGAACTTTAGACTTTTTGCACATGAGTATGGATTCACTCCCTCATTTCTTTTATTTTTATTGTGTAAAGGAGGGATCTCTTCACAGCCAGTGTGAACAGGAAGAACAACACATTTGGGCATGTGAGTACTGTTTTATGAGTATTATATTGAAGCTGCTGTAATAATCTCTTCCACCACAACCCCCCCCCCTTTTTTTTTTATCCACCTGGATTTTTTTAATTACCAAATGTTGAGTCTTATTGTCAAGGTATGCTACCAATTATCTTTCTGAAATCTGTCTTGAATAAGAAATAAAGTTTTAATAAATAGAGAGTGAAGCAGGTAACTTACGGATCACTGGATTTTGGAATTAAAGTTCCCAATTCCTTAATGCGATCATTAATGTTAAACCGTCGCCTTCTCTCAACTACAGAGCAAAAACAAAAGAGTAATTAATTTCCTGCTTAACCCGACAACATAGATAGATAGACAGATAGATAAACACAAATAATCCAATCTCACTCAAATTATGGTTGTCCTTCTTCTGCCTTTCCTTTGCCATAGCTCTTACTTCAGCTTCTGAAAAACACATTTTGATCCATCACTAAAGTTACAGTGCAGTACAATTATAAATTAGCTAAGCTAATTAACCAAACATACCCACAGGGAACCCTTCAGGCCTTTGATAGTTGTCATATTTGCCACAGGATCCAGACTTATCCAGCATATGCATGATGGCCGGGGATTGTGAAACTGTGATAAATAATGTTTTCAGTATCAGAATGTACACAGTAGACACAAATGCACAAAAACACACGCTAGTCATGTACAGTCAACATTCCCACAAAGGAGGTTACAAGAAGTGGACTGATTATAAGACATTATGGTCTGCACAAAGGCCTGGAGAGTAGAACGATGTTGGAGCCTTTGCGTTTTCTGTGCAGTCAAGATGCTGAATGGGTATTATGGTTCATTTTAAGAGCTCAGCTCATGGATGTGAATTGTGGTTATTTAAGTTTTAAGTTTCTCCCTTGGTGAGACAGATTGTGCTGCTTACTGGAGTATTCCGTTTTAATGTTGGGCAGGTTGGCTGGGCAGGAGTTGCTGACGGGCAGACCTTGCTGAGGCATACCCTGATTACCATACATGTCCATGAGGCTAGCGGGCACGGGGATCTGAGGAGGGCACAGCAAAGACATTAAACACAAAGGTGTTACTCCTCCTGGTAGCACAATGGAGCTAGCTCTAACATGAGCCACTTAGCTCACTAGGGTAATGCACTAGATATGGGTTTTTCTTAAGTATCCTAGTTTGCTGTGCTGTTTTTATTCCCAGAAAACACCAAATCAAATGTGGTGACCTTTAAAAAAGTGAAGTATTTGTGAAGATTCACTATTAAGGAGGAAATAACACACACACACACATACCGTGTGAGCCATCTGAAGTCCTGGGTCCATCATGCCGAGGATATCATCACTGTAACTAGACTCCAGACTAATAATGTCATCAATGACATCATCCATCTAAAATAAGATGACACACAGGGCAAAGGACAAGCAGATAAGTGTGATTAAATAAGTGAAAGATCACAAAAACACACATTAAGAGAGTTACTGTGAGAAACTGTGATAAGCTTGTGAGCAGACAGTCACCTCTTTCTCGCAGTTAGAGTTCAGGGTCAGTAAGGCCATAGGGCTGTTGGGGGCGCTGTTGCCCGGCCCTGGCGGCATGCCCCCGTGGTCAGAGGACTGGCTGGGGCAGGGCAAGCTCAACACCTGAGAGCCGAGCTTTCCCAGGTACCGCTTCACCTGCTGCTGCTGGGAGCGCTGGATGTGGTACTTGGTTGGGTTCTCCAAGTGAGTCTGGACCTGTTGACGGGAGAGAGGGGGGTTAGAAGTCAGTAGAAAAGAGACAACATAAGAGATGTGTATTATTGGCAGGAAAGGTGCCTGGGAAACAAAAGCTAATGGGATTTGTTGATGGTTACAGGCAGCTCTTTAGAAATGTGCACTTTGGTCACAGTGGCAGATAAACTGTCACAGAGAGGAGGAAGTGCAGCTGCATCATTCTCATCCCGTTTTATGGTTTTTGAATAGGAGCTGTTACAAAGCAGTTTCTTAATTAGATTTAAAAAAAAAAAAACAGCCCTATATATACCTCAAAGGCTTGCCTGCCCCCTAGTATTACACACTACCAACTTAAAAATTTAAATAATCCTGACACTGATTTCAAATCCCACAATGCATAATGAAGTTTTCTTTTGAGAAACTGGCAAAGAGTCTCAGAAGTAAACATTTTCTACGTTTTCTCCTCAGCTTGAATCCTCTGCTTTTTACATTCAGAGCCCACAAATCTTAAGTGCGAAAAATTACACACGCAGCCATCACTGTGCTCACTGGTTATGGCTAAATTTGACTTCTGTGGATCATTAATCCTCACACAGCATTAATGAGCCAGAAAAGCTACTGCAGGGAAATAAACAAACTTCAGAGACAGTGTTTATCAAGGCTGTAACACATTTAAATGGAGCAAAGCTCCTGTGTTCCAGCTCACATTGGAGAGTCTATATTTAAAACTTTCCCAATCTAATGGCTGAATTTTTTAGAATTTATAAAATAAAGACACTGTACATAGTTCATCACAAAATGTAAACTGTGTAGAATCCATGGTGATTCAGGTCGTGTTTTTTTTTTTCATGGATAGTTGTATTTCAAAAAGATACCTCTTCTCCAAAAAAGACAGTTAATTTTAAACATACCTCATAAGGTTGATATCCAAGCATCTCAAGCATCATTTACAGTAAACGCAACCATCCGATTTAAAAACTAAAATACGTTTTTGCTGTGTTAACTTCTATCTAAACTAAATCGAGCTGTCGCCGCTTCTTTTTTGGCTGAACCAGAAGACTAACACTGTGACTATGAGAACAGACACATCCAGCTCATCTTTTAAAAGGCAAGAAAAGTCATTCGTTATGCATGGCAAGAAATCTCTGTAAAGTACAGTGAGCCTTTTCAGTTTTGTTTTGCTTTATGTAAAATCATAAATTGTTCCTTTATGGTGTATCACTTGATGTCAGGATCTGGCACTAACAGTTAGCGCCTTTGTTTTGCACCTCCTTTACTGAAACATGCCTGGGGCTGTTACTCTGGCCCATCCACTTTTTTAACCCTGTGGATGCTTTTGGTGTGCACAAACCATAAAGTCTGTCACATCCTTGTTTGTCTGCACTCCTCATGTCTCTAAAGGACATTTGCATTTGGCAACAACAAGTGTACTGCACCTCAAAGCCAAAAAAATAACAAATTTGGTTGCTTTATTTGTTGCGTTGATGTTTTTGCTCTGCCTGCACCCAGATGATTTGGGTTTAGGCTCCAGGTGAACTCTTCACTGCCACTGCCTCTATGAAAACTCCTTCAGTCTGTGCACCATCCTTGGATATAAAACAAATTAACGATATTAAATTAAATAACCCCAACTTCAAATTGCAGCATATCAGAAGAAAAGGACACTGACTTCTACTACTGAGCATTAATACTCAATGTATGTGGAGTTTGGAATCATGCAGTGAAACATTTGAATGTTATTACCATATAAAAATGATTTTCTCAGTGAACTGTACACTGGAGACCTGGCCACACCTGTCATGTCTCTGCTTGGACTTTTTTTATGAACTACACACTCAGTGGCACCTTTACCAGTTATACATGTGCAATCTAATGCAGCACAGGTTTCGATGTTACAGTGATGCAGTTGTATGTTTCAGCATAGTCACTGGTGGTGTTGTACTGGACTGCACTGTATTCAGAGCTGTATGTCATATTCTGTCATGTCTGTAAATAGGGAGGACAAAAAAAGGAAACGCCTGTCAATACAGTGTGGCCCAGTAGAACACCACCTTTATCATTGTTGTATTGGACTGCATTAGATTAAACAGGTGAACCTAATAAAGTAATGCACAGTGTAGATTAAAACCATCAGGTCAGGTTCTGAAACTCTTTCATGTGCTTGGACATAAAATCGTTGTTCTGCCGGGGGATGCTCATGTGAGGAGCATCATCACACACTGTATCCTGCAGGTGTGACTGAGTTCACCCTGGGCTGTAAACTGTCATTACAGGGTTGTGAAGCCGACGCTGAAGGGGGCATATTTACAGCTCATCAATGACTCGTTAAGAACGAATGGGATTCATTAGTGTTAGTCATTAAAAGCATCCTTGAGCCTTTACTTTGTTCTCATTATGGTGTTTAGCAACTGTGTAATATCATCACTGCCGTTGGCCCCTAGCTCTAATAAATCTCTTGTATGTATTTTTACAGTGTCCTTTTAAAATATCCATTTAAATTACTCTCTCATATTGTATCTGTGTTTCAGGTCTCTACATTTCTTCTTTCATAGAGAAGCATTTTGTGATATCTGCTGTAGTAAGACACTAAATAAATAACTGATCAATTATTTGATTCACAAAATGCAAAATGTTAAA